ATCCTCCATAAATCATGGTCTGTGCATGTGGATGTGACCTCGAATAACCCCAGCTGGATGCGTCTGGCTCGCTTGACAATGACTTCGCTGTCGCTCCAAATTGCAAAGGTGGTACCTCTGGCAACCCCGAAGCAGAGAGCTGAGACAAAAGACATGAGCTCTGCCCGCATGACCGTTTGCCACTGGCCTGGTACTCCTCCCCATGATAGAGGCATGTGGGGAGCTTGAGGGTCTGCTCCCGCGACAACGACTGCCCATGCTACAAGTCGTGTAGTAGGCTGTTTTGGGCCCAAGCCTGTCCCATCGCAGAACAGGTCATAGTGCTCTTGGTGTGCACAGCTGGCGTATCTCCCACATGTGTCTGGGACATCTGCCAAACTCCTTTTGAACTCACGCACTTCCACAGGCTCAGGCATCCAGCCATGCTCTCGTAAGCAGGGATCCATGGCGTCAATCTTCGCTTGGATGTTTTGAGGAATGAGAGCTCTGCTCGGGGCTGTAGCTGCACACTTCCAATGTCTGTGTTCCACTGAGTCTTCCTCCGAACATCTGGAGCACTGTGACGACTCAGTGAAACCTGAATGTTTGAGGCAATCGGCAGTGTAAAATGCCCCTGTTTGAGCCACTTGCAGGAAGCCTACTGCATCTGGTGGGTGCTTTGTGGTGTCAATGCGTGAAAGAGCTGGGCAGACAAACCTGAGACCCTGAAACCCTTTCCTGTGCTCCCATCGACGACCAACTGCATGATGCCATGCTCGGCACAAGCGAGCCTTGAGCTCTTGCCTTGGAGTGTGAAGTATGTGTACTGTACCTCCTTCTCCATCTCGGAAGACTCCATTGGTCACATACGTCCAGCACATGTCTTCTAGCCTGGAAATAAGCACTCCTCCTGGCCCTGGCTTTCTCTTGCGTGGGGGGGTCACTGCTGCCTGCTGAAGCGTGACGTCTAACATGTCTTCCTCAATGTGTCGTCTGAACTGCGTCACTGAATTCCACAAAGCATAGAATTCGGGATCTGTCCCCACATTGGCAACCAATGCCAGAAAAATTTGTGCGTTGGCACCAGACTTCTGCATTCCAATGGCTTTGAATGCACCTGCTCTGGCCTCATCAGAGTGGGCTGGGCCAATGTGAACTATGGACCCGGAGTAGAGTACCCTGGGCCATGCCACCACTCTGAGCACTTTGAGTTTCTGGGCTTGGGGTGCATGACTTCTAGAAAGCTTGTGCCACAGCTCCGGCAACTGCTTAAACTTTGCCAACACCGTTCCATTGGTCTGGTTTCCAGTGTACTGCATATGCGCCCCAAGGTCCTTGGCCGATCTCACTGGGATGTCATTGTGGGCTCTAAGGTGTGCACGGCCGGTGGCATCACATGACCAGTGGTACGTTTTGCGTGCATCCAGCTGCACATCCAATAGATCACAAAACCCCTGAAGGGATGTCAGGGCCTGCTTGGTCTGCTCAGCTGAGGGGGACTGGAGCTCATAGTTGTCAACATATGTGGTAAAAACGGCTTGAGGGTGTTGGTGCTGCATGTACGCATGTACCAGGGCATTGATCAGGACCATCCCAACTACACTCATGCCGCATCCTTCAACAAAGCCCGTGGTGGAGGTGACTTGGGCTGAAGGGCAGTCACGCACCACGAAGTGCCTCTGCAGATGTACTGTGGATGCGGCCCATGCACGGACAATGTTGGGATGGACTCCCAACGACAGGGCGGCTTGAAATGTCACTGTGCGTGGTAAGTGATTGAATGCCTTGCACAGGTCTGACACTGCTCCAGTCAAAGGCTCACCTGCATACATGGCCTGTTCTATCCTGTGCTGCAGCGTCCACCACAAACCAACTGCCTGCTTGCCCGGCACATTTCCTAACAATGTGGGTGGCAGTACCTTGGCCAAATGTTGCAGGACTTCTCGGGCTCTGATGGAGGAGTATGTGCGATATGCGCATGGCATTATCGTTATTGGTCTATACTGCGACACATGCTCTGCATTTGCTGTTTTCTCTAACGCGTGGACTGCCCCTTGGAGCAATTGCTGGGGCCATTTCCCATTGTTCTCGGCTGTTGCAAAGAGTTCCAGCAATTGTTCATGCAAAATGTCTGGGAATGATAACAGATCTCGCCTGGCCAATCCATCGAGTCCTGTGGCGGCAGAGGACTTTTTGGATCTCAGGGCGTGTTTCCACCTGTCTAGGGTGATGGGGGCCAGTGGCATCTGGTCGGCATGCAGGATTGTTTTGGTGAGGGCTAAGACCTCCTCCCAGTGGTCTGGGGGCAAATGCCTGTGCCGGTCCCAACGCCTAGTCCATTCCTGGAGGAATGCCGTGTGAACATCTTGGACCCTGCCCTGCAACTCAACTACGGCTACCTCGTCACCTGGGACTAGGGTGTGAGGTGATGTGAACCAGATCTGGTTGGCCTCTATATGTATCACCTGAAGTGGACCTGTTCTGGTTTCCAGAACTGCAGCCTCTTGAATAAGGTCGGAGT